GGGGTTTTGCAGTCAGCTGGTCATTCTGGTGAGCAGGCAGGCTGGGATGGCTGTGGGCATGCTGGTGCTGTGGTCACCTTGTCAGTTTTCCAAAGAAATGTCTCTCGGTGACACACGCAGGAGCTTCTTTCCAGCAAGGACTGAAGGAAACCAGGGCAAGCTGGTAACCAGGCATGCTGGTCTGTTTGGTTTTGACAACAATCTCCTACAAACATCTCCTACATTAGTCTGTCATTTCTGGGTTTTCCCAGACTGGGGAGCTGAGTGATTTGAAACTTTGGCTGAAAGGTGTTGGTTACAGTCAAGGCTAAATCCTGCAGTGTCATGGTTGTACCAGGACTCAGCTGGAACTCCAGCCTGGCAGTGCCCAGATCACTGGGAAGGGGCACAGAGCAGAGCCCCTGGCCTGTCGGAATCTGTGTTATTGATGATTCCCAGATTGTAGAAAGTCTCTGTCTTTCTGCCCCACTGCCAAAGAAGAAGCCATCATTGGTCTGTGCTGGTTTCAAGGTTGTTTATTCTGTTTATCTCTACCATGTTCTGCTGCCCTGCCCAGCTCTGTCCTGCAGGGCAGCGTGTGGGGCTCTGCCCTCAGTGGGATGTGACAAACATTAAATACCAGAAACTCCCTGGGCTGCATTTACAATAACGTGCCAATATCTGTCACCTACGTTGGACAGTGTGTCCCCAGCCTGAACCAACAGGAAAATGTCAACACCACAGTGAGACATGGAGGGCATGAAGAAGGAGAAAAAGGACAAGGCACACCCAATTTCCTCCATCTTTTCTCCTTTGGACCCCTTATGTAGAATCCTAAAATTTTACTTTTGTACTTGTGCCACACTTAATTATTACTTATATCCAACACTCAGAGCTGTTAATTTATCCTGTAAGATTGAAAACTCTTTTCCATGGCCAGAGATCACAGCCAGTGTCTCTGGGGGCTCTGTCCAGGGGGGCTCCTGACCCCTGCCAGGGTCCCAGACCTGCCAGGGCAGCCAGAGGGAAGCTCTGGATTCCCACACTGGCCCACAGGGACACTCTGTGTGTGACAGTCACAGAGCAGAAGCCTTTAACCAGGACTGGCAGCCCTTACTGGCACCCACCTTCATTTAACCCCCATTTCTCAAGGGAAAGTGCTCAAAAGGAGGAACTGGGGAGTTACACAGTGTAGGAAATAGATTTGTAGAGAGCTTTTAGGGCTTGATAGAAGGTTTGCACAGTATGTATTTGTATGCAAACTTTGAAATAAGAAATGCCTCTCAGTTGCCCCATCTCTGAGTCAGGATAAAGGGTATTGTGAGACAATATAGGAGAATTTAATTTCTCAGAAGAACAGTGGAAGAACCAATTAAACTGTTTGCAAACAGCTACAAGGAAAAAGAAAGTGAATAGCAAGCAGTGTGGACTTCTAAGAACAAAACCAGGCGCTGCCTGTGGGGCAAGGAAAACTCTTGGGCAGAGGAGCAGCTGTGGGAATGCACTGCACCTTCAGCAATAGCCTTGTTTCTCTTTGTCATAATACCTGTGAAGCATGGTCTGTGTGAAACTGCTGCTCAGCAGGTGGGGAGGTGATGGAGTGATTTTTAACTGTGTACAAGGAATTTTTTAACCAAAAATTATTTTTAACAAAATGGAAGGAAGGACCTTGTCCCCCTGGACCTGCCCTTCTGCAGGATGTCCTTTTCCTTGGGGATCCTCTGGCAGGCCAAGCAGGAAGGGGGGTGTGCTCACAGGTGGGGTCTGGCCTCTCAGCCCCTGCTGGTAGCTTTTATCTATAATTTACCTTTTACCTATAATTTCAGCTGCAGTCAAGCAATGCAACTTAACACTGGATGCTGGGTGTCCTCTTGTGTGTGGGTGCCTGTCTGCCAGCAAGGAATAACTGCTGTCATGGTTTGATTTAGAATAGCAAAGGAAGTCTTTGAGGGGGAGAAAGCAAACTGTTATGAAGTCAAGGTTTTTGTGTGCCCTGGCAACTGCTGTTTAAGATCTCTGTCCACTCCAGAAATAAAGTATTTTATAATTAAGACAGATTTATTTGTCAAAGTCAAGGACTTCTGCCTAAAAGGTTTGTGGAGTCCTGCTCCTGAACCACATTAACTATTTGTCTCCCTTGATCAACAGAACAAAAGACACCAATGTCTCACATTCAGCACACTAAGAATCTGATGATTTTAGTTGCTAAACTGGAAAAAAAATATTATATATGTTTCCTTTGCTAAAATAGATTATGAATCTGACATGAAAAGTTATTCTTGGAGATGGCAGATAGAGAGGTCCCTCTAAAAATTCAGGAGGTGGACTAAATTATCCTTGTGGATCCCTTCCAACTCATTATATTCTATTACACTGCCACGTGGCTTTTCCTTGCTCCTTGTGTACAGCCACCTTTTGGGTGATGTGCATGTTTGTCAAGGGTTTCTGACAGCAAAGGCACTGAGCCAGCAAGAAGGAATTCCTGTTAGTCAGGCTAATTTTGGCAGTGTAAATTAGAGATAGAAAATGTGAAAATGCTGTGAAATCACAAATAAAAATATTGACATTTAGGCAGAGCCAAGATTGTGTGGAGATGTCCCCAAATGGGTTTTCTGGGGTAAATCCCACAGTGCCCATCCCACAGTGCTGCCCTGGTGTTTTTCCTCAGAAGCTGCTCTATGGGAGCAGGGAGATGAGCAGTGGCTGGGTTCCCCAGGGCACACTGGCAGCAGCTGCTGTGAGCACAGTCCTTTTTCCTGGTTGTCAGAGTCCCTGGGCCAAGAGAAGGGACAAGAGGACACAATGCTGAGGTGCATTGGGCACAGCAAAGCCAGGCAGGATGAGAAGCACAGCCCCGAGGGGCAGCAGTGCAGCCCCCCCAGCACTGCCTCAGCTGGCAGCCACCACCAGCCACAGCAGACTTGTTGGGGTCCAAAGCTCAGCTGCTGGCTCTTTTTGGATGTGACAGGAGATTTCCCACTGCTGCTGGTGGTCTTTGCCCTGAGCTCTGTCTCTCTCTGGGCTCTTCTGCTCCTGGGGGTGGACTCCCCTTATCAGCCAGCAGCTGAGTGGGTCAGGGCTAAGGGATGCCTTGAGAGGCTCCCTGGAACAGAGGCTGGGCAGAGTTAAAGGAATAAAGTAGGGATTTATTAAAAGACATTCAAAGGATACACCTTGGGCGGTACAAGAGCCTGGCCATGGCTACACCCAAGATGGACCCCGAGTCACGAGTTTTCACACTTTTATAAGTTTTGGTCCATTTCCATATTTGGGTGAATTGTCCAATTCCAGCTCCAGGTTATGCAGTCCTGTCCTCCCAGACTGCTCTCCTCAATTTGCTGTTTGCACTTTTTGGGCCTGAAGCTGCAACGTGTCCTTGGTTCTGGGGCTGGAAAAGGATTGTTTTGTGTGACTGAGCTGTGAGGAGAACTTGCCAACACGTTACCTGAAGCTCAGTTACACAGTAATGCAGTACAGAATCTGGAAAAGATGAAAGCCCAAACTTAAGGCCAATTATGAAAGCCCAATCATAATCATTCAGTGTGGCATCTCTGAAAGGTCAAGGTCAACTTACACATCTTACACAAGGTCAACTTACACACACAACAAGGTCACACACATCTTCCTTCCTTTGCCTTACAGCTGCTTCAGGCAGAAATCCCACCATAACTCACCGTCCTGCTGTAAGGTATCAGCAGAGAAAAAACAAATAAATCTTTTGACATTTTTCTGGTACAGAGAATAAACAATCTATGACAAGAAGAGAAAGAATTCTACAGCTGACATTCAGAAATGGAGCTTTTGCAGAGGTATTTGGGTAGCCCAGGTCCATTCCCACTCATTCCTGTGGTGTCAGAAATCCCCAAGAGGGACATGAAGACCCTGATGCCCCAGATACAATTGTGCTCTGGGTTAAGGAAGTGGTTTCTCTTCCTATCTGGCCTTGACATCATTCACCTGAATGTTTCCCCTAATCACCCCCGTGGGAGTTTTTTGGCCAGCAAAGATGGTCTCAAAGCCATTCCTTCAGAAAATGAGGTTTTATTGCAGCTCTTGAGTCTTCCTGTGTGTTTCTAACCTGTTCACTTCTTTTTAACTTGAAAATAATTGCAAGCAGATTTTGGGGAAGGATTTTCAGGCAGATGTACTTCCTTTTTTTAGCCTTATTAATTCTCTTAAATAGTTGAAGCATGAGCAGTTGTGTGGTGGGCAGGTAGAGATTGCAGTAGGAAGAAAGGGAGTTAAGAGCTGGTGGCCTTTTCTAGGCCAGAGACATGTTGGAGACTGCAACAGCTCAGTCTGCAAATCCCAGCCTCTGTTTTGGGGTGACTTGTGTTTTTTAATCAGTGGTGATGGCCCTGCATTTACTTCAAACTGTTGCATTGCAGAGGTGGAGAAGAGTTAGATGTTATCCCTGCCCCAGCCAAGCCCAGCAAGAGAGATCCACATGCCATTTCCTGCCTAAGACACTTCACGCCTTTGCCAGTGTTTTGTTGGGATGATATTTTAGCATCCTTTGCTGATCAGGATGCATGCAATACCACTTCAGCTGCCTCTCAGCAACAGCTTCAGCAGCAAAGGCTAATCCACTCGCTGTGGAATTTCAGAGACTGAGTCAGGATCTGGTGTCAATAAAACCACACTGATTAGAGTGATGCTTCACCTTCACGAACACTGTGAACTTTTTCCTTTTCTGTTTTCTAACATTGCTTTCTCGTTTCTAACAGCTGTCAGGTTAAGCTTCTGGCTAAATTGTTTTCTTCTCTGTCTCTCAAATACATGTTAAAGAGGTCATTAACTTTCCATTCACAGTCATTTAGCTATTGTTCTTTCCACCTGGTCAGTTTGGCTCATAATTTCCTCTAGCTTATATTAGTTCTTTTGCAATTTCTAGTAGCTGTATTACTGGCTGGGGCTGCCCTCCTTTTGCTCAGACTGACTACAGTCAGATCATGGTCACTAATCCTTAAGCCCTGACCACTTCTTCAGCAATTAAAAAACTTCAGCACTTATAAACTCACCAAATGTAGCTCCTGCATCCAGGATAACAGTTCCACTGTAACTATTTCAATATTAGGAAATGTCCATCTGAAGCCACTGTAAACTCTCCCGACATTCTCCTTGGTTTCACACAAGTCCTGATGGAGATTTTCCCTTCTCTGCACCCTGCAGGGGGAGGATTGCTGGGTTGCTGGTGCCAATCTCTGTTTTAACACAGCACACAGAAAAAAAAGGGCTCAGTTTTCTCTTTTTAATCCTTTTATTTGCAAAACACTGAATTACCTAGGTGCAGCTTTAATGAATGATTGAACAGTTACCATCACAACAGGTTTCTGTGGGCTTAAACTTTTACTTTTGGGTGAGATGAGGTGCCCATAATCTCCAAAAATCAGGCAGTCCTTGGCCCCTTACCCAAGGATGTCCCTGACACATCAGTCCTTGAGGCTTTCAATCTTCACTGTCTGCACATTACCCAGCAGCACAGTTATATTCTCAATACCAGAACAACTCCTGTTGATTTTCTGCTGCCAGTTCCTCCCTGGAGAAGGGAGCCCATCGCTGCCAGCCTCTGGCCTGGAGAAGTGCAAACCAGAGGCTGCAAGGGAGTGTTGCAAACTCAAATTATCCTGTTTTCCTCTGGGTGTTTTTGCCCTTTGTTACACTTAGTTGCAGTTTTGGGCACACGACTGAACATGCCAAGATCATGCCACAGCAGCCAATGCTCATTCATTGATGCCTCCTTTTATAGGGGGGGTTCAAAATTCCCACACTTGAACACGGAATTAGTGAAAGTCTCAACCCTGCCCAGCTCACTAACTAACTAGATATCTGCATTCAAGATTTAATAAGATTGGCTGGGGTCCCCTGTTTGAGTTTGAATCTAACTTATCATTGTCTTACCCACAGCCTCATTGATCTCTGTTCTTTAGCGAACTAAGCTGGCCAGGTTCAGAGGGCTGTGAGAGGCAATTTCAGCTGTGCAGCTGCAGAGCATTTCCCAGCTGCTGTGCGGCTCTGGCCCGGCTGCACAGCTGCACACGGAGCCCCGTGTGCCCTGCGGGCTGCAGCAGCGGCGGCGCTGCGAGCCCTGCCCGTGCCCGCGCTCCAGGGATGAGTGCGCCCGCTCCCGGCACCGAGAGCCCCGGCTGAGTAACGCAGCCGCGGTTTCTCTGTTTTACACACGGCAGCACCCGTGCTCAGCAGCCTTTCCAGCGGGGCCGAGGCTCTGAGGCTCTGCTGCCGGCCCGTGGCACGCTGCCAGCCCCCAGGGACACGGGCAGGAGCGCCGGGGGTGCCCGCGGTGTGAAACCCGGGCAGGCTGAGCATCAGCCCCTCCCCAGGGCTGTTTGCAGCCTGGTCTGCGTTTGTTCTCTTCTCCACCTGCCACTTGCACTAGTCCTTAAGGGGAAAATAGCCCAGCCCAGTTTCTCCCCTGGGCTCAGACATGTCTGGGCTTCAGGGGCATGGCTGGGGCTCCCCTGCCTGCATCCCCCGGGGCAGCATGAGAGGGGACACTTCTCTGCAGGCAGGCGCTCAGGCAGGAGCTCACAGCAATGTGCCACAGGCAGAAAATGCACAGTCCTCACCCAAGCAACACCAGTGGCCCCATCCTCTTCCCCTCCCTGGCTTGTCACGATGAAAGCCCAGAAGATATATACACAAAATATAAATTCCTCCAGCTGCTAGCCTTAGATGCACAGTCTCTGCACTCTATCCTTCTGACTCCTGAGCCTTTTAGCCTGGTTTCCAGCTGGTCTGGCTCACCAATTGCTGGCCCACACAGCCACCCACAGCCCTTTCTCTGAATGCTGCCATCCTGGCACACAGGGTGCTTTGCCCATGGTGTCCCTCCCATCACAGGTACTCCAACCTCCACACCAAACAGAGACCCTCAGCAGGGAAACAGCTAAAGAGAGCTTGGAAAGCAGATAGGACATGCTATACCCACCAGGCACAGGCCAGACAGGCACTTGAGCAGTCTCTTTTGTCCCCTTTCTCTCTGTTTCCCCCCACTGATTCCTCCCACCTTGGTTCACCCCTTTCCCCACACACCCCACAAGTCCTGAGGGCTCTTGCCAGCACCCTGCAATGAGCTCCATGCGCTGATCATCCTGTTTGCTTGGCAGCTGGGAAGGGTTTCCCAGCTCCTCACCACAGCAGATGCACTGACCCAGGCAGTGTCCTCTCCCCATCAGGCCACCAGAGCTCACACATGGAACATAATCTTGGGGGATTTGATGCTTCTCATTTTCCTTCTGATAGGTCCTTTAGACACATTCCCACGCTGGTATCAAACAGCTCTTAAATGTTTTCACTGCATGACTGCAAAATCCTAACTCATGAATTTGACAACATTTCTATCTTGATAATTTATCTGTTCCTCATCTTGTTTTTAGGGATTCTTTGCTTTTACAGTGTCTGCAGCTTCATAGAGCCTAGAAAAAATAATTCTTTCAAGTTTCATCTTCAGTACAGTTTTGCTCAGATCTGAGAAAAACTGCTTCTTCTCCTAAGACAACTTTTCCTTACCAGTGTTCTCAGTCCCCTTCAAGGCTGGGCGTGGGAGAAAGAGCCCCGGGTTACCTTGTTTTTCACAGCATCTCCTCTCCTTTGGTGGTGTCTGTGGCAGGCAGGGAGGGAGCAGTGCTGCCAGAGCCAGCAGCTCCCATGGGAGCAGCTCAGCACCGGGGCACGGCTGCGGGGTCACCTGCAGCCCACCTGTGGCAGCTCAGAGGTGAGGTGACACCTCGCTGTCCTGCCTGTGCCTCAGAGAAACCCCCAGGCAGAAAGAGCCCCAGCCCAGCTCCCTTTAGAGCTGGAGAGGCCTTCAGCCTGCAAGAAAAAAGAAGTTTGCGCACGTAAAGAAAAAGACATTTCAAGGAAAAATAATTTAAAGAACATAAAAAGATCTGTCTCAGCCTTTCTTTCGCAATTCTGAGCAACCTTTAGTTGCCAAGAGCAGCAGTAAATCTGTGCTTTTTTCCCAGGAAATGCTTTCTGTGCGTGGGGGGTGCTGCCCTGTGCTGACCCAGGACCAAGCAGCCTCCAGAGGAGGCCAAACGTGTCCTGCCTCCATCCATATGGGAATGGGATGGCTTCCATGGGCTGACAGTGATAAAACACCAAGCCATGACTCAACAACTCAGCACGTGGATATATTTTCTTTAAAACTCGAGCACGTAAAGCACTTGCAAGCAGTGAACACACACCAGGCAGGCCCTGCAGGAGCTCACCCAGAGCCTGGCCCCTGTCCTCACCCCCAGCCTGTGCCTTCAGCCTGTGCTGTGCCCAACACAACTGCGAAACAGAGACTAATGCAGATGAAAACCTGTTTTAAATGATTCCTCCTCTGTGCTCAAAGAACTGTTCACAATAATCATTATTCTTCTTTGCAGGATACCAGACTGTACAAGACATTGCTCTTCTTGTTAGACATTTACTGTTAGACATTTATCTGTTATTAGATGTTTGTGTTGATAGTTGTTTATTATTGTTAGATACTCATCTGTTATTAAATACCTATTATTAGTAAATATTAGAGAGTTAACAAGGTAAAGGTCTTGTTGAACCTCTAAAGGGGGGAAAATGATACCTCAGGTTTTGGCTTTTCTATTTTTCAGATTCTGTGATGCTTTAGTGTGTGGGTCTGGGCTTCACATTAGGGGATGGTGAGCTCTCTGCACAGAGCAGGGAGACAAAATAATTCCTTCCCTAGCTGGGGACCAAGGACAAATGATCTAGATCTCAGGCCCAAGAGCACAAACTATGTGGGCTGAAAGAAAAACAAGAAGGGTGGGATTTCATGGGCTGGAGCTGGAATTGGACAATTAACTCCAATGTGCAAATGGAATGGAACTTATAAAAGTGAGAGACCCCATGACCAGTTGTGAATTTTTTGACCATTTTGGTTCATCTTGGGTGCAGCACTGGCTGGGCTCTTGTGCTGCCCGAGGTAGATCCATTGAGGCCCTTTAATAAATCCCTGCTTTATTTTTTAACTCTGCCCAGCCTCTGCTCCAGCTCAGCCTTCACAAGGCATCATGGCCATCTCTCCCACACATCAGCTGCATCCTTCACTCTGGGCAGAGGAAGATCAATCACAAAAAGTTCCTGGACTGCAGCATGGGGAGCAGGCTGGCGTGCCATGGGTGCAGGTAGGATCAGCCTGCCTCGGGCTGCCCCCTTGCCCTGCTCCCCACCTCGGTGGGGCTGTGGAGGAGCCCCTGGCTGTCCCCAGAGTGTCAGGGCCGCCCACAGTGCAGGATGTCTCTGGCTGCCATCCCCCCATGACTCAACTGGGTCACCGAGGCGGCGGTGACGGGGCAGGAGCAGCCGTGCTGCAGCGGGGCTTTCTCTGCTCTGAGCCCGCAGGCTCTGCCCATCTCTGACCTTTTCCAGGCCTGCTTGAAGGCGGAGGTGGTGGGAAATCTGTCCTCGCTCAGGTTGGCTCATGCACATCCCCTTGGCACTGAAAACCGTGTGAGCCCTGCTGGGAGTGAGCCCACTGGCTCTGGGACACGGGGGAAGGCAGGCCACTGCCTCCAGGCTGGTGCCCCATCCTGCAGTGATGGTGGATTGCAGCAGGAGACCCAGCTGCCATCACATCCCAAAGGATTTTGGCTCTGCTTTGCCAGGTTTCATGCCCATCTTTCAGGCAAAGATTCTCCCAGCCAATTTTCTACTCCCTCCACTGATTTTTGTGTGGTTACGTTAATCCTGGCAGGCTAATTCTGCTAATGGATAGAAGTATTCGTGGTTATGACTCGTTGGTAGTTGCACACTTGCCATCTACAAAGCCCTTGCAGATCTGGAAAGAAATGTTGGTTAATGCTGGAAAATAAAGCCCCCGTGGCTTTCCGTGGCACTCACCCTTGCCCCAAGGTTGTGATGCTCTTAGCACTGTCTGATGGCCCACCCTGCCTCCCACGGGGACACTGGAATGAAGGAGAGACTTTTAAAAGTCTCCCCTGTCTCTCTGGGATCTTACCATGCCAGGAGGAGTTTCTGAAGAGCTTCCTTTTGGTCCCTTTGCTTTCTAGCATCAGCTTGATATGGGTTTAGGGTTATATTTAGGCTTAACTGCA